AAAGGAGGAGATGCCAGGATAAAGATCGTTTGTCTCCTTCTGAAAGACTGAACAATGCTACTTTGTCTTGCTGGCAGTTAGTATGTCAGCTGCATGTATTCCAAGCTCTTGTTTTTGCAAAACCTCTATAAAATCTGAACTGAAACACAAAATGAAAAACACATCATGAAAAATGACTGACCACAGAAATTTCACTGTAACAAAAAAATCATCTCTGCAGAGGTGATCAGCATCACTGTAACATCACTCTAAACTGTTTCATAACTAGCACTGGAAAATAGTTATAAGTGTGAAGGGAGTAGAGTTAATTTAGTTAATGCAGTCACAATATAGCTCCGAGTTGTGTGTTCTTAGCATGACCAATAAACTAAAAGGCACTCCTTATAACCTTTGAGCCTTTGGCTAGACCTGCAACTTAGCAGTGGCTTAAAATTAACTTAAAGTTTGTGGGGAAGCAGGAATTGCTCTTTTGCCATAAGCAGGGCCCTCTGCCTTCTCCGTGACTTCAGAAATAATGTGATATTTCTGTTGGTGAATGTTCTGTGGTGTGCCTAAAATCTTGTTTCTTAACCTTAGGTCCCATTCCCTTGCTGCTAAGTGGAGGTTTTGGAGGCAGCTGTCTGTGGATCGCTGTGTATCCCGTGGACTGTGTTAAATCTAGAATTCAGGTTCTCTCCATGGCTGGAAAGCAGACGGGCTTTATGGGAACATTTGTAACTGTTGTGAGAACTGAAGGTGAGCGTGCAGCATAGCAAGTGAATCTGATAGGTTTGGAACTGGAGCCCATTTCCTCTGGTACCAAGAACTGCTTAAGAAATCTTGTCTATTGATGATGTGTTAGAGACTGACAGAAACAGTTTCTAATAGAAATACTGATGATGTAGTTTGGAAGTCTTAGAATCCAGAAATTGAGACATTCAGCATTGTGCCATATCTTTTGGTTCAGGAGACAATTAAATTAAGGCTAACAGAAGCTCAGTAAGCGTTAAATGCAGATGAATGAATTCCCTATGATCAAACCTATAAATGAAATTTGAAGGAACCAGTAAAGTTTGGTAGAGAATTTTTCCTTATCTCTAGAAGCTGGTATATGGCTGACAGCAGTTTGGTAAATGAGTCTTAGACTGGCAACTTGGAGCTTCTACCTAAGCATCTCCTCTGGAAAAGGCCTGTACCAGGCACTGCAGGAGGTGGTGTAAGAATGCAGCTAGCAGCAGACACAACTCCTGGCCCTGCTATGGGGGAAGCTACTCATCAGAGCAGGAGTCTGGCTTGGGACACAGCTCCGCAGTGGTTGTGCCCTTCTTTCTGCCAGCTGCTGTGAGCTGTATCCTCCAGTGAGCAATCCTTCTGAAGACCCTGTCACGCCTAAGATAACTTCAGGTGCTTACATTAGAAGCTTAAAAGACTAAACTCAGGTTGCAACTCGAGATACTCCTATAGCTACACCCAGTAGCACTCCAGTTAGCTGCTCCAGCAGAGGGTTCAGCTGTGCGTGTGCACCTGCCCCTCTCAGCAGCAGCACTGCCTCATCAATATCCTTCAAAGATGAAAGAAGAGCGTTTGGTGCTGATGGGCGTTTTAATAAACGGCTAACCAGGTCTGATTTAATTTCCAGGTGTGCTTGCCTTGTACTCTGGACTGAAGCCAACTATGATCCGTGCATTCCTGGCCAACGGGGCGCTGTTCCTGGCCTACGAGTACAGCCGGAAACTTATGATGAAACAAGTGGATTCGTACTGACGCCTTCTAGCAAACGGAGAACAACCTTTTAAATGATCAAAAAACCTCTAGATCACATCGCGGTCTGAGCAGTGCCAGATCAGTGACCTAATTTTAAGAACTCATTTCCAGTTTAGGATTTGTAATCTTCTAAATTGAAGTGATTTTTATAGAGATGTGTACATGCTGCTTGAGTTGGACCCACAGGATCATCTCCAGCTTGCAGATCCTGCACTGGGTATGTTGCATGTCAGAAATGTCTTTTCCTGCCTGTAATGGTGCTAAAAAGACACCTTGACATGTTGGTTTTAATGGTACATGCGGGGGTGTGAGTGAGTTGTTTGAGCTCCTTGTCTAGCTCCCTTTTGCCCTGTGCCTGTCCAGGATCAGTGCAGTTGGTGTCTGACTGCACGCTCTGGGCCTAAAGAAGTAGGAAGTGTTCACCCACTTGACCTAGAGCTGAGATACACCCATATTTGAGATAAAAAAAAAAAATGAAATAACTGGTTTTAAGGAGTTCATTTGTAACAATTGTTCTCTAAATCCTTCCAAGAAGTGCTAGAGCACATTAAACACTTAAGAGGAACTGCTGGAAATAGCTGCTGCTTCCAAGTCCAAAGCTGTAACTTGCAGGCTCCTGGTCAGGTCACCTTTGTGGGGCTGAAGGGCAGGAAGCTGAAGAGGAGCAGAAGGCCCCAGCTGAGTTCTTGAAGACAACTGACACCAAGGTTTCTGCGGTGCAGAACAGACTAACTGGAGCCCTGCCACATGTGCCACGTGCTGTGTCTCCTCAGCTGAGTGGAAACTGCTCATGTGAACGGACTGTTCATATTACTGCCAGGCCTGGAGGGCGTGCCTGCTTCTTTTTTGTGTTACTTGATTCAACATGCAGCGTAAGGCCAGTTAGCATAAGCCAAAAATGATATTGTAACACCTATTTTCCTAGCTGACCCCTCCATTCTTGAAGTATGATTTTCATGTAAGTGTGTTCTATCTTGTAAGCAGCAGCCTAGTGCCAGTCCTGGGAGAAGAAAAGGCAAGTCTCAGAGCAACAATGTTCATAACTGAGACCTGGTGTTGTACAGAGGGATGTTGTCTGTGTGGTGTAGCATACCTGCCCCAGAGGAGGGCACAGACAAGCTGCCCTTGGGGTTTGCAGAGCTCTTTAACCCACCAACATCAGAGCTGAACCAAAATTAGCAACTTATTTCTGGGCAAGTTACAGTTGCTGTGATAAGTCAGAGCTGAAACAGCTGGGTTTTGTATGTTCCAGCTTGTTTCATAGCCCCAGGCAGAGAGAAAAACTTCAGATGGATGAAGATGTCTCAGTATCTACTGCCTCTTGGAGGAGAGCCAGAGTAATCTTAAACTGGCTACTCCATTTCATGGCTATTGCCTGTTTGGAGGGGAAAAAAAGGTGCTTGGTGCAGTTCCCCAACCCCTTCTTGAGTCTTCATGTGCAGCACAGACTGCTCCTACACACATGAAAGATGCAGTTAAAAGAGTGCACCATGGAAGAGGCTTCAGTGCCTGTTGTGCTGATTTACCTTGACTGCCTAGTACACTAAGGACAGTAGCACTGTGAATAACCCATTCGTTAAAAAGGAGTTTATGCCAAATGTTCGAATAATTCAGGTAGCAGAGTAGGACTTCTAAAGTCCTCAGCCTTCCTCCTTCCCAAAGTTGTCTACCCAAGAGTTATACTGCATTTCTGTGTGGTTACTATAGTCATGAGCAGTTAAGGACAGAGTTCATAGCATTGGGATACTGAAATCTATTTCATAGATTTGTCTTTGCTTTCATTTTTTAAAGCTCAGTTGCAGTTTTTAATACCGAAGTTAAGGCTTCAAGAGAAGCAGGATTTTTTTAAACCAACCTACAGCAAGAAGCTGGTGGCAGAAGCAGGCATGTGTTTTGAGAGTTTACCTTTCAGAGTCAAACTAAGTAATTTTTATAGCTACAGGCACCTGAGCTGTACACACACACCAATTGTTCACCTAAGGACTTTGCAATGTTGGTACAGAAATTTGTTGGAATAAAGTTTGATTCAGCTGACTGCCTGTTTGTGCAATACCACCAAGCTTAGCTAACTGCAGGGCAACGGGTGAAATGGGTGTCACCATCCCTCTGAAGGAAGAGGGGTTTCAGGAACCCTTACTGATTCCAAAAATCCCTCACACTTGAAGTGAAAACTCCAAGTTGCTGTGAAGCAACTGTAGATTTCACATACTCTACTATAAAGAAAATAAAACCCCTAGTTCAGCCCTTGCTCTGTTGCTTTGTTAGTATGAAAGCCAGTTCTAATATTAGAGTTTACCTCAAGACCCTAGATCGTTGATTAATGTGCTCTAAGAGTAAGGTTCCAGCCGGAGGAACGCTGAGAAGAGACTTGGGTGACCTCAGTTGCAGGGGTGAAGGCTGAGTGGCCACGACCCTGCAGCCAGAGGTTACTGCTGCAGGAAGATCACCAGCTGTAGAAAGGTGGGTGTTGGGTTTCTGACATGAGATGCAACAGCTCTTGACAGCTATTTTGCTTATTTCTCCCCTCTCCTCTAGCTGAAATATGCAGTTCAGTAAAACACACCACTGGTTTTGCTCTTACAGCCCTTACTCTTGCCCCATAACCTGCCGAGCTTGCTTCACAGCAGGAAGAAGATGAACCTGAACTGCCCCGCAGCCGCTTGGAAAGGGCAGCCCGGGGCAGCGCTATCCAGTTGCCAGAGCTAAGCTGAAAGGAACTTGGTCAGCAGCCACCGCCGGCAGCAATAAACGGCGTCATGTTCCAGCCCCAGGGTATTCGGTCTAGACAAAGGCCTTACCCGCATTCTTCTCAGTCGCCCTCTAGTGACGCTGATGCAGCTTTGGTTTCGCTCCTATAACAAGAGGACTTTTAATTAAAAAAAAAAAAAAAAAACCTCCAAGCCAGATTAACACAACCAAGAAACTAACCTCAGTGACTGCTTCACATCAAGGAAGGCTCCTGAGCTGGTGAGACCCAGCTGTGCCACCTCAGCAAGGCCTGTGCCAGAATCCTTCTCCTCCATCTCCAGCATCCCCTTAATCCTAGGGACCTGCACAGAAACCCTGATGCTAGGGGAAGGTGCCTCAGGTCCTTCAGCAGCACCCCAGCCTCCTGTTCTCCACCCACCAACGTGGTGGGTACTTAGAGACAATGGTCGGGTAGTAGAGAAGGGATCACCTGTATGTAAACACCTCTGCACAGATCCAACAGCTCGTTAGCACAACGTGACAGCAGCATTAAGTAATTCTCCAGAGGATTATTGCTCTGCACAACAGAACCTCAGGTCAGTTTATTTGAGAAAGTTGTATCTACATAGAAATACGTTAAGTACAGCACAGGCAGACCACTTCGCTATACCGAAGCAGCAGAACAGTCTTCAGGAAGAGAGGCGAGTTGAAGTGTTTTCCTTCTTTCAGCCTTATGGTTCGGTGAAGTTCACCTCTACAGCAAACTTCTCGCTGTAAACTTTCCACGTTTTAGACTTGTGAGGATTATCCAGCTCATTCCTGGGGAGGTAGAGCCTGAAAGAAAGTGATTCAGTAGCACGTTTTAGGCCGTAAGATAGGCTTTTTCTTCAAGACAGCGAAGAAAACTTAAAGTTCAGCCCTGGAGTATTAAACATGCCCCAGATCTTAGATTCAGACAGACATGCACAGGGATTTGGATCTGAAGCAGTTTGAGAAACATAACACCAACCTGACCGTTGGTGGTTTTCCCCCTGCCTACAGCCCCAAGACACAAGCTTGTTACAGCAGAATTAATGTTACCTCCAGCTGCAGCCCTTCTCATGGGATGCACGTGGTAGGTTTAATAACTGGCTTTCCTAGCGCCAGGCATTGGATTCAGTACTCAGTCAAGCTCAGCCACGTTCTCCCCTTTCAGTGCTTACTGAATTAATTTCTAGTGATCACCTGAGAGCACCAGCACAGCAGCTTTCGATACAGCCCAGCTGCAGAGCCAAGACAGCAGGTTTCTGTTTCTCCTGCCACTGCTTGGGTCTAACTGGGTACCTGCACCCAGACTGCACAGTGCGTTGCTGGCTCTGGGTATTCTGTTTAGAGTTATGAATACAGACTCATGGCTAACTCCTCATATTTTGATAGGAAGAATTAAATAACAATTGCTTGTCCTATTCCAGTCATAGAAAGAACAGTAGTTATACCTAACTTGCCTGCTGAATTCAAGTTCCAGCCTCTGCCAGTTGTGCTGTAGAGGTTTGAGCAGTTCGTTATACCTTCGGAGTTCCAGTTAATTAACAATACTTTGAGTGCTGGGAAACAGCCCAGTAGATTAAGCCAATTAAGACAAATCTCACATTTAAACCACCCCGCACAGTACAAGCATGTGCCAACTGCAGGCTCACAAGTTAGGCCTGAGGGTCAGAGATGCACACAGAAGCTACAAATGCTTTCATTAGCCAGCTGTTCCAGCTCTCAGCACATTTAGGAACCATCAGCCCTGCTCAGACACAAGAAGTTCAGATCTAAAGGCAGTCACTCTGCTCACTTACCTGTTATTTTCAATAAAGGAAGTGTTGAACCAGAAGAAGAACGGGCAGTTGTCATAGCCTTTTGGAAGATCCTAAAAGGAAAGGATCTGTTTAAGGACTTCATTTGGCAACGGGACTTGTTTTTAGAGATGAGCACCCAACCTGTCTCCAGCAGACTGGTTTACAAAGCTACAGTGGCAGAATCAATACACTTGAGAAGCCCAATATCCCACCCAGATCACCATGCTCACTGAATTTGTTTCAGGACTAGGCCGCTCAAACTAAATATGAAAGAGTAAGAGCCCCACATTAGAAGCAGCAGGTACCTAACCAAGGTGTCTGTTGCTACAGCTGCTACAACGGGGCCACCCCACACAGCAGGAGCCACAGGGGAAGAAACACGTGGCCCCACAGAGCTGAGGTGGCCAAGACCAGCTGCAGTTCGCATTGCTGGCCCTCAAATTCAAGCGCCAGTCTTCACGCCGTTGTACTTACAGAATGGGATTCGAATCTGACTTTCACATCCCCGCTTATCACAGGGCTGTCTTCCAAGCCAATGACTACAGAGTCACTGTCAGCGTCAAAGAAGAGCTGGATACAGAACACACAAAACAAAATATTGCATTTATGAAGAGCTACTGCAGAGACAGAAGAACAATTGATGGCAATTAGAAGTTACTTATTTGTGGTATAGAAATACAACAGCAGTGCTAGAACAGACACCAACAATTTCAGCTTCTCAGGTCAGTGACTGTTAAACATTTAAACAAACTTTTAGGAAGCCTGCTATTACTTTGTAGTATTTCTTCTATGGTTTAACAAAGCTTGGCTGTTTCATCTTAGAATTTACAGCATCCATTTACTAAGGTACTTTTATATCCAGTATCTAACTTCCACAGGACAACAGTTTCAGGCAGCTGAGTCACAGAAGCTGAAAGCTGCCAGTTCCATAGTGTGCTCACCTTGCAGTTTCCTTGTGTTGCACAGACACATTCTAATACAACTTGCTTTCTCATTATTACCTGCACCTTCAAGTCAGTTCCGTTGCCTTTCCCAACTCCTAGGAAGAGGAAGGAAGTGTCACGTCATACCAGAGCACAAAAAAATCACCTGGAAACAAAGTGGTAATCAAAGCCACGTGTATCACTCTCCCTGAGAACAGCCTTGTGAGGAAGGCCTTGCTACAGACTTTAGGGAACTCAAGACCTGAAAGCAACTCAAGCTTGAGTGGCTGAAAGCTGTGTGGAAGTAGCAGAGAATCCTACTGGTGGCTCAGGAACAGCACATGTAGAATACAGTTCCACCAACTGAAGAACAGCATTTTAGACCCCCTAGAATGTGCTGTACTTCTAGTAGTCAGCCTTTCATCAAGGTTACCAGTACATATATACAGAAAGTTATAACAGGCTGAGAAGTGTTACCCACTAACCCTACTGATATAGTTGATTCCCTTCCCAAAACAGGGCAGGTTGCATGTGAGCCATCATTTTAGCAGACACACAGAAAGTGACAGAACACGAGGCAGCTGTACTCCAAAGGTTTGTGGAGTTGATTTTTGGCTGTTTTTAGTCTGTGCTATTTGAATTCTCATACCCCAGTAAGCCTACATCTTTAACATGATTTAGTAAGAGAGACAGAGTACAGAGATCAGCTACCTGTACCACAAAACCATTACGAAATAGAGAAGTGCCCAAATTCAAAAGTTCTTACCATGTATAGAGTAGATTTTGAGGTTTTTTATTTTGAGTTGTCTCTCTGGTGGGAGTTTGAAGTTATACTTGTTTTTCAGGATCTCATAATACCCAACATACCTACTCTGTAATGCAAAAAACCCAAACACATTATGCAGTTAACCCCATACAACCTAAGTCTAGGTAGAAGCAGGATTAAGTAGATCTGCTCCAAGTTCTTTGCTACCCCAAGTCTAAGGATAACAAGAAATGAGCCTTGTTCTTTCCCCTTCATTTTTCAAACAGCTAGTTGTTAAACCTCTACACAAGTTCAACACCTGCATTTTTAAATTATTTAAATTTGGTGTTGTAAAAACAATTCTGTACTTTTGAGTTCAGAAAGAAGCAGGGAGCTTTTTTATCATAGGTTTAAACATTCTGCCTCTTAAAAAGCTCCAGGATGCTTCCCTTTTGAAGAAGCACATACTGAGAGGTGGCTACACTTCCATTCAGTTTTGTACTGGTAACTACAGTACCTCTAACCAACAGCTTCATCTCACAGTATGCAGTGAATTAAGATGAAGACATGGTCTGAGGCAATAGCACGTTTTGTGTTTCTCTGTGAATGCTATTTTTAGAGGATGCATTCCTCCACCCAACCACAGCAGTACCATAGCCCTCCCCAGGCCAGGCTGCAGCCTCCAGCACACTGCTGATGAGCAGCCCAGTTGTCTTCTAGGGTCATGTGTTTGTGAGGGTGGTCAAACACTGCAAAAGGTTACCCAGAGAGTTTGGGGGAGATGCTCTAAGTCTAACTGGACATCATCTTCGACAGCCTGCTCTAGCTCACCTTGCTTAAGCAGCAGGGTTGGACTAAATGTGGACTAAACGTGCACTGAATGTGCTCCTTCCAGCCTTAAGAGGATTGTGAACCCAGGTACCAGTCCCACTTCACAATGTCATGGAATTAGTGCAAGGAATTACTTTAACAATGGAAGGGAGAAGAATGCAATGAACCCTACTAATTGGCAATCTTCCAACCCCTAAAGAACTAGTGCAGGAAGCCCAAGAGTTAAGTATATAGTAGAAACAAGGCAGAATTGGGGCAGCTTCAGTGCTCACAAGGCTAGGATTGGTTTGGCTGCTGTTGCTGGACCTGCTCAGACTTACCTGGGATGGAGTTTCAACTCCTTGAAATTTGGTACTTGTGCTTCTGTCAGTTCTCCTCTCCCCAAAGTAGTCCAAACTTTCCTAAACAGAAAGATTTTTAAGTGTTAAGACATTCATCCCACCACCATTCCCCTTCCTGAGCAGCGCATAGCAAACAAACTAGAACCATACCAGCCAATTCTAATAAACGAATACAAGTGAAGATATGCAATAGTGGTTGTGGTATCTTCTAAAAGGAGGCTTTTAACAACAATATAGAATTACTAGTTAGGAAGTCAGGTATATTAACTCTCTCATCCCAAACTGAGAGCTAATAAAGCTCTCAGAAGGAAGAGAGCTATATGCTTATTAAGCAATTCCTACAGAGCCATATACACTTCTCAAGGGGCCTGTGGCAGACAAAAACTGAGCATTAGTTTGGATTTCCACAACCCAAGCTCAGAGAACAGCAAGTTATCCAGCTGATATACACTCTGCCCAAGCTATCTACAGTGATCAGGGCCTTCTGGAACCCAGGTTTTCAGGTCAAGACCCCACACTCCATATATCAAAGCAGAACACACATCATTCCTGACTGCAGACTGCTGGTCTTTCTTCCTTTTCCCAAAAAATATTTAGAAAGGCTTCTTGCAATCAACAACTGCCTGTGGCCTTGTCTTGACATCTCACACCACTTGGAAGGAGAGTAGGGAGGAGAATTACACAAGACCACTTGAAGAGTGACACTGGCGTTAGTAGGGCATGTTCAGAAGGCACCCATAGCTTAAGACAAGTTGCTCAAGATCCTAGGTCTATTATGCCTCTAAAAGAAGTGCTTCAAAGTTGGCATCCTACATTACCAGTTCTTCCTGATCAAGAGTAGTCTTCAGAGATGAGTTTCCACATTAGCAGGAGTTGCAAAAAATTTTTAAAATGCAGGTTGTTTACACCATGCTTTTTTGTCTGTAGGCTTTTTACAGAGTATTAGGGCATTTCAGCAATTTGTTAAATTCTGAAGAGGGTATTTGGAATATGGAAAGAACCAAAATAAAACTTAGTTTTTACCTTTGCACTCTCAAACTGGTCACTGTCTATTAGCCAAGTACAGACCATTGTTCCAGTTCTACCTGTAGTAAAAGTAGTAAGAGAGATTGAACTGTAAGACTTGGGGGATTATTTGTGAAAAATGAAGTTGTAACTATTAGAATAGAGATAATGGGAGATGGGGGTCACCTGAGTAGTCAAGTGTCAGACTAAAGCACTGGCAACACCAGTTTAAGTCGCAAGAGTTACTTCTCTGGCCCAGTTTTTGCCCAACCCTACTAAGTAGGGCAATAAGACTACTAACGCAGAGGTCCTGGTATTGTCTCAGTATTGAATTCAAGTCTGAGGTCATCACCCCCTCCCTACACTTGTTCTCCAGGCTGACTTTGGCCTGCAGGTAGCTTCAGTGTTCAGTTTGGGAAATACAGCTTAGGAGGCTTTACAACTGTGGGAAAAACCCTTCTGCAACCATCTGCTTCAAGCCAAGTATCCGTAGCATTTGTAGCAGTAACAGCAGGTGGCTGGAGATGTGGCAGATGTTTGCAGGGTCATTTGGCTTATTTGCACAGCTATCCATGCACTTCAGCAGCTCCTGAGCTACTGAGGGTTGCAGATAGCACTCATGGACCAGTTTGTGTGCAATAGCTTGCACAAGCCTGCCCCCACAACACTGTATTATGCTTTCTCACGATACCTTGTTTCTTATGTGTCTTAAATCAGGATTCAGCCGCACCTAGGCTGTTTCCACAGAAATTCAGAAGCCTGAGGTATATTACAGTGCAGGATATTCAGCACGGGTGACTAGCTAGCAGAGCTAGAGCAGCTGCTTAACAATTACTAGTAGCAGCCTTAGTAGCTCCCTGTCCCCAGTCCCTCCTGTCAGGAGTCAGAACAGCAGAATTTGTTAAGTTACCCTAAACCCACTTTATGCCATGGTTTAGGACTACACTTTCTTATCCTACTATTTTTAATGTATGTATCATTTGTGGCATGCATGCTTTAGACATGACAAGTCTTACCCTTGCCTCCTTTACAGTGAATTGCTATGATGTTCTTTTCATCTTGACTCATCCATTCACGGACACTGGCAGTGAACTTCAGCATGTCCCTAGATAAGAGGAAGATGAGCATGGTCACAGTAAGCACCCACAGAGAGCTACCACAACACAAGTATTTCTTGCCAAGACTCACCGTATTGTTGGGACATTGTGGTCATCGATGAAAATCCTTTCCACCCTGTAGTGGAAGTACTTGGGGTCATAGCCTTTTTCACCTATAAAGAAAATCTGGAAGTTATGCCAGGGAGGGGAATGGGCTTGGAACAGAGATGGATATGACACAAGACCACCAGTCTAAGCTTATACCAGTGTTTTAAGTACTTTTTAAAAATTACTTTTGATAGAAAGTTCCTGAAGATCTAGTATTGCCACCAACATACTCTAAAGAGATGTTTATCTGTTTTTCAGTACAGTCAAGCAACTAAGCATACTTACTGCAGAGATTGTAGACTTTATAATGGTCTGCATGCTTGGTGTCCAGAAATCTTGCAACCTCCTATAGCAATAGTAAGATACAAGTTCAGAGTAGCTGGCGTAACTCCTTATTTCCATGGCCACCTCATACCCCGTCCCCAAGGTGAAGTCAGCGAGTATATTTATGATCAGCTCTAGGACAACAGGCCTTTTCATCCCAGTAGTTCTGATTCCTATCTAGTGTAAAAGCACCATGACCAAGTTCCTGGCCCTTCGTACTTTGGTTTCTGAGACATCAGGCAGAAGAGCTCTGAAAAGGGACTTACTTCTAATGTCTAAATCTTAAATTAGACAGTATTTAATGCAGACATTTGAAGTGTTTTTCATCTGAGTAGATCACTCATATGACTCACACTATTACTGGCCTGGGACAGAATTGATTTGGTTCTGATAATTTTCCCCCAAGAAACAGACATCAGATGACCAGTGTGTCCACAACACAAGATGCATCTCACTTGGCTCGGCTGAGAGACTACAATACAAGCAGTGCAGCACAGTGGAGATCACCATTTAAATATTCCAGCCAGCTAAGTCAGCAGGACTAGGGCTGAGTTGGTAATCTAGTCCACATGCAAGCTAGTGGAAACCTTGAAGTGAAACTGTTCAGAAACACTGAATTTGGTAAGGAGAGATTTTTACCTTTATAGGGTTCCTGTAGAAAGACTGCTTCCCAGAAGATGGAAATGACATTGCAATAACACGATCTGTGGAGAAGACAGCAATCAGATGTAACAACAGGGAGACAGACCCTCCCCAAACATAGGCACTACATGACAGAGGGCATGTTATCATGAAGTGACTGACTCCCACCCTAGTTAGGAAAGCCACCTACCCATTTCCAAGAGGTTTTGTTCTGCATTTTGCATAGCTAGAGCAGGGCACTAGGCCTTCCTGAAGCATAAGCTATCATTAAGCAGTCAGCATAGAACTGGAGGCAAACACACTAAATCAATCAATAGCTTCTTAGCTCTGGTTCCCTACGCCTCAGAAGGATTTCTATCCTTGTATACAGCATGTACACCCACCCTACCAGGAGGTTAACCCTTGAGAAGAACAGGGTTAGAAACTGATTTCAAACTCCTAAAGAAAAGAAGTAGGTTTGATTTGAATTCATATTTAAGTTTCAATAGTCTGCTAAAAAAGTTGCATTTGATACAAAGCACTCAGCCTTAGCAGGATGTAACATGCTGCAAAGTATCATTTGTTGCTACAGGACTTCTACAAACCAGTAATGTAAGTGAGATCCAGATCAAAGCCATCTTTCATATAACGCCTTTTGTTTTCAGAGACCTGTGAAAAAGGAGCAGAGTTAGTCTTCCTAAACACCACCACAAGGCAGCACTTGTTGATTATTACTAGGAAAAAAAAAAAACATCTGGACTTCCTTAACTTGAAGGAAGGAAGTTAAGGGCAGCATAACCAAGACTGTTTATTCCTGTGTAAGGGGTTGGGCTCGAAGCTCCAACAATCACTTCAGTGCCCTGCTGGAAGTAACAGAGGCATTCACAATGGATAGGACTTCAATGCATTGGACAGCTAAGCTATTTTGTTTTCACCTGAAATGAGTGCCAGAAGCATTAAAAGTCTCCAACCTGCCCACGTTGGAAAACAGCCTGTGCACCACACAAGCCAGTAATTATCAAATCAAGACACACCACGGTGTCCCAATCCCTGACACACCGGTCTTCCAGGTCAAGGAGCTGCTTGCTCAAGCAGAGGCAGGCATTGCTAGCTATACTGAAATAGAAAGTGTAACCCCAAAACCCTGCCAGAGACACAAAAACAACACGTTGCTTCTGTAGTAGTATTAGTTTCAGACCAACACACAGTGAGCAGTCTTGCTCCTCACTATTGATGGCTTCATGGAGAAAAAGATGATTAAAAACAACAATAGTTGCCTAGATTTATTACTAGGCCACTTACCATTCTCCTGGTCACCACTTCAAGCTGTTTCTTTTGGGAGGCCAGGCGAAATATTCTAATTAAGATGACAATTCTCAGAACTCGAAAGAGTGCGACCATTCTAGATGAGAGATTCACCATAAAAAGACATTACTACATTTAGATGCAAAACTTAAAGCTATTTAAAACTTATTTCAGAGGTAGATAGTTTTGTTTCACTTATTGAACTAGGACCTCACATGCTGATTTTGGTAAGAAGGGTGGCACAAGGCTTGAAGTATACCATAGTTTTATTGTTAAGGGTTTTGGGGACACAAGTTTCAAACATGAAACAGGACTAGGAAGCACCCCTACTTGCTGGAATAGATTTTTCCCAATATCTCTGCCCAGCAAGCAGTAAGTTCTTTTGACACTGCTACTGTTACTATCCCTACATTGCTGTTCCTTCAAGCTTATTCTTAAAATGTACTCTTAAAGTGGAACCAGACATGAAAAACAGCTGAAAAGAGAAGCTGAACAAGCCAGACATCATGCATTGAGTAGGAAACTTGAGAACAGAGCAGTTTATAAGTCTTTTGTTTAATCATTCAGCAACTTGAACAAGTTCTGTTGAGAAACTTTGTACTGCCGTTGGACTTTGAATCTGGCAAGATGCTCATGTGAGTAGCTCTACAGAGACAACCTGAGTAGGGGCAGCTGCTTTGGGATACCCTTAGTGAGTAGTGTCAACCAGCATTTGTTCCTTAAGGAGGTATGAGCATATATTTTAAGGAGCACACACGTGTTTTAGGCCCTGATATACCTAGGTAAGAATATTCAGGTGAATACCTACAGTGAGGGCGGGGGGGGAAAGCGTTATGGAAGCTTTATTCCATCACCTCTGGTTGAAAACAGAGTACTCTCCACTCATGTAAAGCTTGTCAGAAGCCAGAAAGACATGGTTGTCCTGGACACCTGGAGGTGAGTTTCAGTTCTCACCAGCTCACTCCTAGCCCAAGATCACCCTGCTGTTGTTTCAGGAGAGTTGCCCTGAGCAAGCAGCCAGGCAAGGACAAGCCAGCACTGCAGTGTAGACTCCAGAGCCCCTCTCCTCAGCCTGAGCCACCGCTGCAAGAAGTAGCTCTGCAGGATACCAGCAGCTTGCCTCCTGCCCTTCACAGAGCCAGCTAGTTAGGCATTAACTCCCAAACTGATACCCAGCCTTATTCCTATAAAAAAGTGTCCTTTTGTAAGTCAGCAGACAGCTCATCCCAATCCACATCTAGCTAGACCAGGTCAGGAACAGACACCACATCGCTCCATCAGGGGATGTTACCTCTGCGGACTGCCAGACAAATTTGACTTGTCACACAAGCTCTCATCCACATAAAAACTGCTCAGCCTAGCTCTTCTGAGACTTAAAGTGCTTTAAGGTTACTGCTTGCATCTGAATCAAGGGCTGCGAGGAAAGAAGAGGAAGAAAAAGAGGTAGGCTACTAGAAGTTAGATTTGTGGATGCAACTGGAGGATTAGGTGGGAAGGGAAGGCTGTCTTTTCCTCAAAGTCTGATATTTGGCCAGTTCTGAAATACCTTCTAGTGCCAGGCAGCAATGCTTTGGTCTGCACAGAACTAAGAGCCTTTAACAAAAGCATTATAGAAGGCCTCAAGAGTCACATGGATGAGACAGTAGGTCTCAGCTGAGTATCTTTTAAGAACATAAAAAAAAAAAAAAAAAAACCACAAACCTTGTGGGATGCCAGGCCTGTACAAAACCCTCTCCAAATTCAGCAGGTTAGAATACAAGGGATTTGCACACGCCAACATCCAGTAGGAAGAATCAATGCAGGATCAGGCTTACTACTAACAGCCCAGGACTCCATAAGGAAAAAATATTCTTTAGAAAGCTGTGGGCAGAGATATGCCATTCAGCTCAGGCTGGTGTTTAATAAGGGTTAAAGGGAAATAGCCTTTTATGATTCTGGGGCTGCAAATGCAGCTAAAGGAGTCAGAGGTAAACAGAGCTTTCACAGCTCTACTTCTTGTAACAGAAGTTTGGCTGGCATATTAAGTGCTAGGATTCCCTTCAAGTTCATCCAGCTCTGGGTTCAATAACTAGACTGAGTTGATTTCTTCTAGAGAAATGTTTCCCACCTTGTACCCACTAAATTTTTTGGTTTGTTTTGTTGTTTTTTTTTTTGTTTTTTTTTTTTTTCTTAAAACACCTCTACTTCTTTCCCTGGTTGGTGCAAGGGTCTCACTGTAATCCAAACTCAGTGCAGATGACTAGTTGAGAGGCGCATTCCTGTCTCCATCAGGAACAGACTCATCTCAAAGGAGATCACCTCATCAAGCCACAGAAACCAGATGGAGGCACAACTTGAATCAATTTATGCACATGAGTAGTAAGATCCCCTTCCCCAGGGGATGGCTGAGAAACCCAGCATGTGTTACTCTGGGGCTTTTGGGAGAACAAGGTGGAAGAAGCGAGATTTCTGTTTCAAGATCCACAGATAGAGATCCTTCCTCAGCCACCTACTTTGTCAGTTCCATTTGCTATTATAATCCAACTCTTTCTGACCTTCTACTTCAGACTCATCAGGTTGCTGCTTATAACCTCAACCCTGAAAACCTGAGAAAGGCTATTTGCAGGCCTCACTGCTCACTTTTAGTCACCACAACAGATACATTTAGATCATAGCTGCCTTTGAGACAGCCTCCAGAGCTGTAAGCCAAGGTTAAATCTTTCTATCCTTTAGAAGCCTGTACTGTGAAATCCTATCAGAGCCACATTTGTGCTCTAGCATGCACTCATCTAGCTTAGATATGCCCAAGAAAATTCTTAGACTCCTGTCAAGAAGAGAGCTCACATCTAACAGTTGTGGTACCATGCTTACCTTGGCATCTGATCCGTCGCAGCGAGGTCTGAGAAGGAGTAGGTCAGGTTAATTAACAGAGTGCCCACTACTATGAATGCATCCAAAACATTCAGTTTGGACCGGAAATAGTTCCTGAAGCTGAAACAAAGGAGAATGTCAGATAAACACCCCTATGAATGGCAACAAATTTTGAAACCCATGTTCAGGAAGGAAAGAGCCTATATAAAGCTACTGCTGGGGACAAGCTGTTCTGAAGCACTTCAGAAAACCAAGCACTGAAGACCCACTAAGGAAATATACCAGGTCTACAGTGCATGAGTCATAGCAAGACTTACAGTTTCCAAATGTTTACTTGTATCAGAAGCATTTTATAGGTTAGTCCATATAATGGTAACAGCCAATAAAAGATAACCATAAGTTTAGCCTAAGGGCCAGCCACACTCACAGTTTCAACCTCAAAGTATTGCTTCCTTACTAGCTTGAGGATTTGCCACACTGAATTCATCTTTGCCAAGGCCTTACCCTTCAACAAACACCCTCATGAGAACATCGACGAGGAAAAAGAGTGCTATAGCCAGGGAAATGCCTTCGAGAATCTCTCTAATGCCCCTTTTCTTCTCAGAGATAGCCAGATCCATAATCACAACAACAATGTCCACAATGATAAGCACAACTCCAAATACCCTGAAAGAAAAAAAATACAAGTCAGCTTGATAAGAAGGAAAGAAATACTGACATTTATAGACTGGAGAGCACAAACCCTGATTTTTTATTTTAAGCTGGTCCAACTGTGGGTTCTCATGCATGTGTGTGTGTGTGTATATATATATATATATATATAAATATAAATAAAATCAAGGCCTGCTTGTATGAAGAGCCGAAGGATTCAAATCACACTTTCTGAAGTGATTTGCAGAGTACAACATCCACATGGAACTGTGGTTACTGCAGACTCAGCTGTAGTTATTCACCAGTAATTCCACAGCTATCCAGAAGTGGCACAAACCTGAACACTTTAAGGCATAGAAGCATCAGTTTGTCCTCCAGCATACTGACCTTCCCTCCCACTTATGAGGGAATGCAGTTCCTTAGAAGTAACTATATTTTAATTCCGTACTTCCCAGGAACAACTGTCTGGAGTCCCTATTGCTTAAGGAGCTCTCCAAGTTCTTGCACTAGAAATAAGGACTACTCCCACCCCTCCCATATCATTACAAGGCGGATGCTTTACCTGAATCCAAACGACATCACAAATGGGGAAATTTTTCTCCTAATAGTACTGCAAGAGAAGAGAACCAGCATCAAGACAAGGGACATTTTGCTACAGGTTTAGCTACAATAGCACTGGTACTGAAGTTCATTCCTATTCAGTGTCACAGCTCTAGTGACACCAGAAGTCTGGCACAGTGTTCAGTAACAAGTTCCAAGTAGATTCACATAGCAGCTATTGATCAAGAGGAAGATTAAAGCATAATCATCTCTTAAAGTATCTTGATCAATGTGTTTATTGTATCAGAATGAGAGGATTTCTCTTCAGGCCTGGGAAAAAGCACCTGTTAACAGATTCACTGTCATCTCTGTGCTCTTAGAGTATGAGGAAGACAAATACCTCTTCTACCTTTAGAAGAAAATCAGTTTGGTCTTTCAGGTCAAAGACCAGTACCTCTTAAATGAGGTACCACAGCCAAATGCTTCCATTTGGAATCTTCTCCAGCCCTAGCAGGGTTCCAGCTAAGGAAGACTACTTGTTGCCTGGTCAGTATGCTCTAAGCCTTCTGGTTTAAGGCTAGACCTTTGTAGAGCTACATCTCATTAGCTGAACAAATCACTTGAGGCTATACAACAAGAATTAACATAAAAGCCTCCATCTGCATACCCCAAGCTGTGATGGTTTAACTGATTAGTTACCAGCATACTGCCAGTCTACTAACCTAGGGGTTACTTTACTATCATAAGCACTGAGTTTTCTTTGCCACTTAAAATAAAATACCTCCTCCAAATATGTCATTAACAGTAGGACCTACCGAAAAAGTTCTGACACAAGAAGAATCTGCCAGAACTTTGTCAGTACTGTGATATTTGTCCTCCTTTTCTGTTACATACTGTCACTGTACTTCCCTCTCCACCCACACCATTGGGGATACCACTGTTACAGGAAGTATTCATTGGATCAATAATGCATATTGCACCCCAATTACCCTATCTGAGCTTCCTTTTTTCCTCTAGGGTAGTTGGAGCATTACATTTCACTTGGTACATACACTGAATTAGTGAGTTAACCTTAAGACAAGACTGAGCATCTTTGAAGCAAAGAGGAAGCATCTTGCTGGGCTCACTGAGTTAGCTCACATTTCTCATTATTTTAAGTTTGAAGTCCAAAAATATGAACCAGCAGACACCCATATCTTTAAGCAGGTTGCAGTAACCACTTTTCCTACCTAAGTCGAGGATGCAATAGCAGGCCTCATCTCCAAGGCAGCCTAACACATAGATATTAGGTATAAATGTGAGAAGAACCTGCTAAGGAAAGCACTGCGATAGTTACACTAACAGTTGGTGGTTTTAGGTCTTCATCCAACAAATCCTGCAGTGTAAATACAGCAGGTACACCAAGACTTCAGCTTCCACAATCTAAGGACAAGCACCTTTATTAGGCACACACTAAAAAGGCTAAATATATAACACACCAATTTGGCCTGCCAGCATTTCAGATCAGTTAAAGAGAACACAGCCCAACATTTGCTTGTTTACTTAGCTTAAAGCCTTTATGAAATGCATTTCTAACCACCAAGTTCTGAATTCTCTAAAACCATGTTATCACATAAGAGAACAGGGATAACAGGCCTGATCTTACTGCTCAAGCTGCAGGAAGTGTGAAATGTTATTCACATGTCACTGACCTGACTATGACTGAAGTATGCTATAAGACTTAGTAATCTAGTCTAGTAACAAGAGAAGCAGTTACTTTCAAAAATGTAACTGCTTCAAGAACAGTAAATCACTAGCATGTGTAGACAGCTCAATCTTGAAGGCATAATCCTTCCCAGTTGCCCCAGATCCTCATTTACCTCATTCTCTGAGCAGCATTGGTTCTTCTGTGCTCCCCCAGGTTCACTTCTTTGGGAAAGTTCATGCACTGCAGCTTAAACTTCCCATTTTCCATTATCTGATATATTTGTAGCTAATGCTAGCACTGAGATTTCATCTCCATAAGCATGAAGCAGCTTCCTGAAGTTGCTTGCTGTTATTATGTACTAGAACAAGTGTCAGTATCAAGTGGTGTAATGCTCTGAGTATCAAGATAAGTATCAAGGCATCAGTAGCAAGATAAGTAAGGCTTATCTCTTACTTCAGCAAGCAATCTGCTTTCTCATTTTGGTTCAGGCATTTTCACTTTTGGGGGTAAACAAGGCATTTAGTATTCCATTAGCTTACTTGGAACAGCTGTCCTGTTCATTATCCTCGTCACGACCATCATCTATCTTTATTGTGGGCTCCTCTGCTGTTGGAGAGCTGGCAAAGGAAGAGCACAAGTCACATACCAATACAGATCTCAGCTTTATACATTGCTACCCTTCGTTATTCCAGAACCAGTAACATTAACTACTATCAGCTGAGCAGTGAGAACAGCAACCAGGGCCAGAGCACATGAACAATACTAAGGGAAGAAAGGCTTCCCATATGTTGTTACAGCAGAAACCTTTGGCTTGTGCTGACCTAGCTCCACTTAGCAATCCATCTTTCAAAAATTTTTCTTTAGGGGAAGGAAAGGAAGATGTTTGTGTTCAGCAACTGGATAAAGGGCTTTGAAGTCAGGCATCCCAGAGTCTACTGAGGCCTTTAGAGTCCAGTCCAGACTCTGGAATCGCTAGAAACATGCATATGCAAAGTTACTTCGCAGAGTCCAGAAAATATTGATGCTGTTACAGTAGACTACTTGTTCAGAGAATGAATGCTTGCTAGGAGAAGCCATAGCACAGAGGTGTTTTTGTGCAGAGCAGGATACCAAACCGGAAACTGCAAGAGCAGGGCAGCAGCTGAGCTAGTGCTGGAGCAGCATTTTTTTCTTGGCAGGGCTGCTTACCATAGCTTCCTTAACAGGGTCTCTTTGGATCAAGATTTTTTTTAGCCACCTGAAGAGCCTTGAAGGTCACAGGATGATCCAAACCCAAGAATTTGGATTTTAACCTTCTATATAGAAATACTATGCTACATAATAGCACGGCCACAGTGTTTGCTGTGGCTCTGGCTCTGCCTCTGGCATCATTACTACTTGTGCAGGAGCAACTGTCTACACACTATTTTCCAGCTCCAGTATCCTCACTCTGTTCCTAGAAAGGTTGCAAAGCTCTGTAAATATACGGCTATGCAGTTTTCCTTCTCAGCTGTTCTTACAAGACATTCACTGTGGAGTTATCCACATAGTATAGAGCAGAAATGTTTCACTTATTAAAAGAGGTTTCTGCTGCTACAGCGCTTTTGCTGCAGACCACTTGCTCGTCCTTGAAGACATGTGAAAGGCACTGAATGCCAGCTTGTTATCCTCTAGTGTGAGAAAAAAGCCCAATAAGAATGAGCAGTAGTAGTGTTTTGGGTTAGGAGGACAATCTTCAACACACAAAGAAAACAGAAATCAAGGACAAGCACACTGTTTTCACTGTGCTCTCACACAGTGGTTCAGTTCTGGATAACGCTTTCCTAAGAGGGAGTTTGTTTTACTGAGCGCTCTACACCCACCTGTTGCCCAAGCTAAAACAAACTCTCTGCCACAAGCTACTACATCTAGTCTTTAAACACTAGAGTAGAAGACAAAAAAGAGGGCATACTAGAAGAACCTAACTTCTACCCACACACTAACCATAGAGCATAAGCTTCCTTAACTACTCACAGCTGAAGAGAACTTGAGACTTGTAAGGATAGCAGAGCCAGACCCTACCTTTAGGATACCTGGACAGTGGCTTCCAGAGGCTAGAAGAAAGCAAGACCTACTGCCCTGTGCTTAACTCTACCAGTGCCTGTACTCCTTTAATAAAGTTTTTAACCTGTAAATAAAGATTGTCAAAAGAAATGACTTCTTGTAAGAAGTTAATCAGAAGAATATATTTCTCTCATATGTAAGACTCCTCTCAAACAATAGCATTTTAAGGAAGGAGAAAAAAATGGAAACCATACAGTATATAAACTTCAAGCCTCCTCTTTGCTATGATCAGAGCATCAAGAAACCGGGCAGAAGACTGCACACAGCACACGTGAGCTGAGCTCACACACCGATGCAGCTCATTTCACTCACCTTGAGGCTTCTTTGAGCTCCGACCCTTGTTCGTACCTCACAGTCGTCATTTTGTTTCTGTTGTCGCTCGGCTGGTCTTAGGAGAAGCACATCTAAACAGAGAGAGACCCGTACAGGCAACAGTGAGCACCAGCACCTGTGCCTACAAGTAGCTTTCACTGATGTTACTGCAGGACAAGGCTCCTGCTTCCTTCCCACCTCTTTTTCCTCACAGAGGAGGAAACGCAGCCGTGAGGGAGCGCTGCAGGGATGCCCACAGCCCCCCTGACCTACCTGCACCCCCTCAACCCCAAGGGAGGGATGGAACCACGGGCACGGTGGGCGAGGGTCTCCTCGCTGAGGGGAGCAGCTCCCCGAGCAGAATATGGCCCCACAGGAGGGGAGGGAGGGAGCAAGGGAGGGATAAAAGGAGGGAAGGAGCCCCCGGGAGCCCCCCGCCGCCCTCACCTCAGCGAAGCCGCCCGCCTCCCCAGCTCAAAGTCGAGCCCGCCCGCGGACTCAGCGGAAAATTGCGTTAAACTTCCTGAGGCTCGGCCTCGCCTCCCCGTCCCCTCTCCTCCTCCGCCCCTTCCCCACTCACCCGCTGAGGCGAGGCCGGGCTCTTGGGGGCACGCTCCAGCCCCCCCCACACCCCGCGGATCAAATGGGGCCGGGCCGGGCCCGCCCGCTGCCATGGCGACGGCCCCGCCGCCCGCCTCCCCTCAGCCCCTCCATGGCCGCGGCGCGCCGGGCCCGGCCGGTTCCCCCCCTCCGAGCCCCTCCGGAGCCTCGGGGACCCCCCGGCACGATCCTAGGAAGGGGCACAGCCCGCGGGGGATGGGGCGAGCTCGGTCCTGCCAGCCCGTCCCGTCAGCCGCTGGCACCCCGTGCCCGCTCCCACACCGTGTCACCTCACAAAGTGTCGCCCCACAGCCGCTCGCCCTGCACCGAGTCACCCCGCAGCCTGTCACCCCCGCCGTGTCACCCCACACCGTGTCACCCACCCTTTCTTTCCGCGGCAGGGTTCCTGCAGCGCGCCCAGCAGCAGGGGGAGCTCAAAGAGAGCGATTCGGGTCGGCTCCCGCAGCTTGAGGGCTGGCAGGTGTGGCAGGCAGCAGCCCCAGCCCTCATGGAGCCATTTGGGATGGAAAAGACCTTCAAGATCACCTGGTCCAACCATCCCCTACGACCACCATCACCCACTAAACCACGTCCCCAAGCACCACGTCCAGCCTCTTCTTGAGCACCCCCAGGGACGGTGACTCCACCACCTCCCTGGGCAACCCGTCCCAGTGCCTGACTGCTCTTTCTGAGCAGAAATGTCTCCTCATTGCCAGCCTGAACCTCCCCTGGCACAGCTTGAGGCCATTCCCTCTGGTCCTGTCACTGGTTACCTGTGAACAGAGGCCGACCCCCAGCTCCCCACCCCTTCCTTTCAGGCAGCTGAAGAGAGCAATGAGGCCTCCTCTTTGCTCTCCCCTGAGCCTCCTCTTCCCCAGACCAAACCCCCCCAGCTCCTTCAGCCGCTCCTCACAGGATTTGTGCTTCAGGCCCTTCACCAGCTTCGTAGCCCTGCTCTGGACACCCTCCAGGGCTTCCATGTCCTTCTTGTAGTGAGGGACCCAAAACTGAACGCAGCACTCAATTATTTTTAAAGTTGTTGACTTTCTAATACATGTTTTATAGCTATAAAAATACCATCAAATACCCCAAAAGCAATCAAACCATTAAGACTTCAAGGTTGTTCTGAGTGTCCTGAGAATATGGAGCAGTTTGGGACAGCAGACTAAATAGAAAGCTTCCCCTTCAAAATAAAAACAGTAATAATAATAATAATAATAAAAACCTTCTAATTTTTCTCATTTATTGCCCATGATAGCACCATAACTTTTGCTTTCAATGCATCTAATCTTATAGCACTGGTGATGCTGTTGTGGATTTGCAAGCTCTGATGTGTCTCCATGAGTTTCCCAATGGTCAATCTATTTTCTTAAAGCTATAACTTCTGAAGTCAGATGGCTAAAGTAGAAATACCATTTTCTGTTTTAATAAAAATGATGTTTGAGCTCTCAGCTGGTGGATAAAAATGTAGAAAGATGACCAAAGTTTCATTAAAAAAAAAAATGTTTTTAAATTAATGACTTGTAAATCATTTTCATTATATTACGCTGTTTAACTCATGATACTGACATTTAAAAGACCCTCAGAATCCAGTTATTATCCCTGAGCAATTATTCATGAGTGTAAAATAACAGAATTGTCAACAAAATACAGAAAAGGTTGAAACGTTCAGTAACTAATCCAGTTATACTGTGTGAAAGCAGATAAAGAAGGCATATCTCAGAGAGGTGATGGCATATTTTAAATTCCAAAAATAACTGAGAATGGTGGTAAACAGAATCGCATAACTTGGCAGACTTTAAAATAACTAAGTATGGATCATTTGTATCTGATACTTTTAAGAGATACCGACAAGAAAAATGATTCAATTTTTACTATGTTTTGGGATAACAGAAATATGGAGATAAGCGGGGGGGATCGATTCTCTGCCAATTAAACGCAGGTAGATCAGATGACCTTATGATGACAGTCTGTCAGCTTGGCTTTGCTCCCAAACAAAATGAGAGCAGATTAGACAGAGGCTTCCACTAATAAAATAATAAAGAAGCGTGGTGATGATGATAATAATGCCAATCAACATGGGATTATGGAAAATAATTTGCGAGAAATTAATTCATACTTTGAAAATGAGCTTATAAGTTTTACTGATAAAATAAAGGTATTTTGTTGCTCCTGTAAGCAACTGTCTGTCTAGAAAATTTGATTAAAGAGGTAGAAGGACACAAAATCAGTCTGGTTCACATTACTTTGGTGAAAACCCAGCACTCTGGTCTTAAAATAACTATAAAAGGAGAATGATGCTAAAGCAGTTCGTTCCCAGAGAGGTTCCGCAGGGATTGAGAGCAGTCTTATGTTATTTAATGTTGTGTGGTGTTGTTTTGAACCATGCCCCCAGATAAAAGCCTCAATGATAAAGTCTGCTGCTGACAGAGACTGGAAAAGTGGACAGAAGAACTGCTGCCTAGCACTGAGAAAACTAATATTCTGTACATGCAGATGAGTGAGCAAACTGTATTTACATACATGTACTATCAGTCTCAGTACGCAGGGCCTCAGGATGGTGTTTTTCAGCCCTTGATACCTGAAGGACCATGTAACATCTTTAAAAGAAACCCATGGTTGATTTACAGACCCACTGACAGTCACATCAGAACAAGGAATGTGTGTGCGTGTGTCAAAAAGCTCACAAACACTTCTTGATTAACTTTTCACGTGTTGCAAATCACAGTCATCCTGATGGCAATGTTCAACACCACGGCACATCAGACTGAGAGCACCAGTGGCTGTATTGTGAAAACAAGTAACTGAAAACACCTCAAGCAGCACTAGGGAGTCACCAGCTGCAGCTGATTGCTGCATGTGGCTCTGTGGCAAAATGCATAACAAGAGCCTTGGCTCCAAAAACAGAAAGATGTTGGGCTGAAAATGTTGCCTGTGCTTTTTATTTGGATTCTGTGTGTTCTCAGCTCTCCACTTCTGATAGCCACAACTCCAGAAAAAAAGAGTGAAGAGCTGTGCTGTGAGTAATAAATTGAAGCGATCCTCATCACACCGGAGTCAAGGAGCTCAAAGATGTCCATCTTTTCAAATAAAAGATAACAGCTTACTTAATCACATTTGATCAGGGCTAGATCTAGAGAAAGGTCTAGGTACCCATCAGGGGGTGTAGGCAGACTTCAAGCATCAAAATTTTGATCTTAAAAAAAAAATAATAATTCTTGTATGTCACTTGCCCAACCCTGGAGGAAATTAAATTGTTTAGGCACTTTGCTGTTAGACTGCAGAGACCTTCAGAACCTGCTATTTTGTCCGTGTAGCCTCCACTGTGCAGCACAATACCCTAGCCAAAGCTCTTTGCAGCTCTATGTGTGTTCTGTATTAGGCTCCTCTGAATTAAATCATCCCAGGAACAGAACTTGTTTTTGTCTTTCCTCCCTCCCCATGCCATCCCTACCCACTAATGCTCTTCCCTGGGGATGTGCTTGAGTTGTGGTGCCCAGCCTTGCCCAGGACAAGCTGTACACAGCCCCTCGCTCCATGACTCCCCCAGCTTTCCCCCAGCACACACACCCCCCAGCCTAAGCAGCTAACCAGGATTTGGGATCCCAGCAAGAGGCAGGAGTATGCCTTGCATTTACTTGGACCTAGCCTTAAGCAGGGAAAAACAAATTTGGCAGAAGAGAGCTTGCAGAGTAAGGCATCATGAGAACAAAAGGCTAGAGTATGTGACTTGACAGATTCAAGGCAAAAAACAAAAATAATTAACAATGTGAGTAATTAAGCAGTGAAAGACCATGTGAAGGTCTGTGGTTGGTTATTCAACACTGAATATTTTACAACAAAACATCTTTTTCTCAAAGAGATGCTCCAGTACAAATGGGAATGAATTAGGTCAGGGGAGTTCTCTGACCTGAGGTAGGTAGATCACACAGATTATCCACATGTTCCCTCTGGCCTTGTGACTAATTCACTTTGGTAAAGCTATTCCTGATGTGAGCGAGATCGGCTTGGACCTGTGCTTGCCCTCAGGAACTTACGAACTAATTATGTTTGTTGTATCAACCCATTAGATACTCATAGCCTTCATACAGACTCGTTAGTTAGACTGAATTATGTCTTTGCTCTTTGAACGTTATCAAAACATTCAGATCTGGCATGTTTCATGGTCTGCCACCATTACTCCTTCTTTGTACGTAGATTTCTGTGGTTATTCCTTGCTAACAAGCCACAGACTTTTAATACATATATGCTGGTTTCGGTTATTTAATATATTGAAACTACAGTGGCTGATGTCATCCTAATGTTTTAAATTTATCATGCTTTTGATGAAACCCTTTATCGTTAGATTAAAAAAAAAATGTTTCAGACCTCATAAATTAACATTGTCTTAAAAAACTTGGCAGCCCGCATTCCTACAGAAGATGAATAGCAGCTCGCACATGGAGAGCCTGAAGGCTGCTGGTACCTCCACACCTGCAGTACCTGCAAAGAAGAAAACAGTTCAGTTGGAAGGGACCTTAAAAGGTCATCTAGTCCAACTGCATGGCCACTTCAGGGCTAGCCAAAAGTTAAAGCATATTATTATTAACAAATGCATCTTCAGTGCTGACAGGCATGGGACATCAACCGCTTCACTAGGAAGCTTGTTCCAATGTGTGACCACCCACACAGTGACGAATTTTTTCCTAAGGAAATTTGGTCTGTGGTCTCTCCCAGTGAGCAGGATGTTCAAGTGGAATGTGACGGAGAGGTACAAAAATAATGGCAAATGCACAAAGCACCTGCATTCAGTGTAAATGAGCTGTTTTGCTTGGAGCTGGCTCTGGACTACTCCAAATTTTCCTAGGGCACAAGTAGGTAGTCAGATTCTTGCTATGAAAACCTCAAGTCTCTAACTCCTTTGGAGTCTGGGGCAGCTGGCTTGTTTCTTCTTTACTGCTTCAAGAACAAACAAACAACCAGGAACTGGAAGATAAATTTGTCTTGGGAGAGTTTTGAGGTGCCACCAGTCTTCCAGCTGCGGTGTTCAATCAGTCCCTGGAGGGGAGGTGAAATGTCCACTTGGTGTCATCTTCATGTCTTCATCTTGGGCAGCTCTGTCTGGAGGAGCCCAACACACCATGTCTGCAGGAACAGCAAGAGCTGTCCCAAAGCCTCTCTGTTCATTCACTTTTATCCACCAGTTTGCATTCTTGCTGTGCTGGCTGTGCGTTTAATGTATGAATAATAGCTTTTTTATGACTGTTATTCAGCACCTACGTACTTTTGCTGGAAGGAAGGAGGAGGAGAGCAGGGTGGGGAGGTTTTGGGTTAATGAAACGGTTATTGTTTGCTGACAAGATCACTGAGTGTCTTATGAAGAGGGAATTTGATCTCCTTCCAAATAACTAAACAGGAATTTGCACTGCAGTGTATGTGCGAAGCATGTGTATTCCAGAAAAAAAAAAATAAAATAAAAATAAAAGGCATTTACAGCCCCATTGCCTAGAGACTTTCAACATCTGTGAGGAAATGTTAGTGATCATGCTGTCCACATTCTTTATGATGACTTGATTATTTTACCTCAGGGCCAGTGAAGCAGTATGTGAACATACCCTTGTGCTAGATCCTCCTCACGTGAACTCAGCCCTGTGGCAGCCCCTCTCTGGTGCTTCAGATGTTCCTGAAGTGCCTTCAGCCTGTGAAAATAAGTTCACCACGAAACATGCAAGAACCATGTTCCAGCTGACTGGGTTTTTCACTTGCAGACATCAGTGAGGTTACCACCGGTGGAGGAGAGCGCGAGAGCACTCCAGGCCTCTCGGCTCTTTGGGGATTCCTGACAGAGGGCTGGGTTTTGAGTCCTGCTTCTGCAAATTTGCAGTCACATAACATATACACTCAAGTTGTTCCCCTACTGGGTCAGCAGCTCTACCAACACTTCCAGGGACCAGAGCTGGAAGCCTGGGGCCTGCTGCTCCCTGGCCTTGTGGACGCTCATGGCTGCCCACACCACAACTCCAGTGCTGCCACCACTGGCCTGGGCCCATCACATGTTGGGGTCAAGCACATTGGCCACGTAGACAAGAGCATAAATTGGTGCACGGCATCTTAAGCAGTGTCTGGCTTGCTCGAGCTGAGAAAGAAGCACTGTGGCTGGAAGCACAAGAAGAACTAAGCGACACGGCCCCAGGACACAGCACACAGCTCCCGTGTGTTCAGGGGCTTCCAAAACAGCTTCCAAAACCCGCCTCACAACAGGGGTAGGGAACAAGTGAGAAGAAAAGCACCGTTTACATAATCCTTTGGCAGTGAAATGGGTCAGCTGCTCTTGAGGGAGAAGAGGAATGCAGTTTTTAAGAAATAAACAGCATTGCTGTACTTTATAATAGCTGTGCAGTCCTGCTTCACTCGAGAGCAAAGCAGAAGTTTCTGATGGGCTTGCACGCCTTGCTTCTTGGCCCCGCAGTCTCTCCTCTGGCCACAGCTCTGTAAAAAGGAGCATTGTCTTTAAAATAATCTGTAATTCCTTGTCCATAACACAAAGGGAGGCACCCATCTGTTGTGTTTTGTTGTTTTTTTTTCCCCTCACTTTCACAAATGTCCTTGTTTATGCTAACGAACAAATCTAATGACCCACCTCTGAGGAGAGTTACGCAACTACAAACCTTCGGAGATTTCAGTCTAACAGCAAATCTTGCTTAATATCCCCGTGTTCGCTTCTTGGTTCAAATTTTCAGCTCTTTTGGTGTTACAGCTGCACTGTGCTTTTACACATAAACCTGATTAAACGGCAAAAGAAACACTGAACACAAAAGCTGTGTTCATTCCACCTTGCAAGACTTACTGAAATGAACCTGGCTGTATTAAATGTGAGATAAAACTCCCACAGGGAGCATTAGTCTGAGTGATTCATATAAACACTTAAACAAGTCAGTCTTGGTTGAGCTTCACAGTCAGATAAGGTGGGTAATGGGGCGCAACCAGCAGAGTCCCTCTATTTTGGAGAGCACCACTGGCAGAAATGTAACCGTTGCTTATTCTTACTGCGAAGCAGCAGGATGAGTATTGGGCAACAGCAGATAAATAAGAATTTGGGTAAAACTGCGAGTGTATTTTGTGTGGAACTGCCTCGTGCACTGAAATGTCCCTCCAAGCCCTTGATGTGGGCCATCTGGAAAGGAAAAATCTATCCAACCTCTAGAAATACAGCCAGGTTTATTACCACTTTCTTTTTCAGTTGACTTTTAAGGGAGATAATCTTAGCAGAAGGAGGTCTGAAGAAAAGGCGAGTTACAGGTATGTGGATTTAATATATGTTGATAAAGGCATAGACAAAGTTGCTTTTTTTTCCCCCTCCGGTCTTCCCTATCTATTTTTCAGGAGCTGTTGCTCACATCCAGCCTTCCTGTTAGCTTTTTGCCTCCACGCACCTTCTCTGTACTGGGCCTGATTCTGACTGCAGCACCAGCACCTGACCATAGGGCAGCGTCAATGAGAAGTACCTGTGGTCGTGGGCTGGATGAACCACGCTATAATACTCTTTTCTCTACCATCTGAAAAAAAAAAAAAAGCCGTGTGCTGGAGTGAAAACCTGTGCAGCATCTTTTATCAGTGACTTCCACAGAGCTTTTATTCTCTCTGTTTGCTCTGGGCCCTGGCCTGCCTGGCTGTTCAGGCAGCTCCCCTGCCACGGCAGCGCTGCCAGCTCCATAAGCAGCTGCGGTGATGCTCCTAGAGTCGTAGCTGAAACTAAGCAAGCCACTGGGAACATAGATCTGGGTAGCCAAGTTTCTGCAGCACTTCCAGATGTGAAGTGGGGGAGTTGTTTTATCCTGTTTTTCAGGCTCTTTTATTCTTTCTGATACATTTTTTTAAAGCACCATACTGCGAACAATTTGTACTGTCCACTTGCTTTCAGCTGCATCTTCCCAGTGGTGGCTGCTTAGCATTTTTCTAGCTGAGCCTCTCAGGCTGAAGCCCTGTCTGTGGGCTGGGGCAGGCCAGCAGCAAAGGTTTTCTTTCAATTTTTCAACTAAAATTCTACCAAAACTGTCCCACACCCACTCTGTGCCCACTCTGCAGCTCCCATTCTGACAGACCACTCCACAGACCACAGAGGGGCAATGCCAACACTCACTGAACCAGGAGGCAAAATTCCTGTCAGCTTTGGGAAGCTGGAATAAGAACGATGAGATTTTGGCCAACTGCTTTGGCAAGGAGGCGTTTTTGCTAAGTAACTTCCCGTGTGTGGGGGCACTTGGGAGAGGGGGCAGAGGCTGCTGGAGAGCTGCACCAAGGGTTTATTCCTCCAGGGAAGAGGGAGCTTGGACCAAAGCCTAGGTCCCCGTGTCAGCACGATGCACTGGTGCTTCATCCTCTCCCTAACATGCATTTTTTTCCCTATTTTTTTCCTGCCTGTAGTTTCAAGCTACCTCCTTAATGAATCCTGGAGAATTAAATGTGATTGTGAAGCAGAGATAAGCTGTGAGAGAATTTAAGAAGCCACTTGTGCATTTTGTCAACCTGTCTTTTCAGGCAAAAAGAAATGGGTCTGCTGATGCCCTGGTGGCTGCTGCTCCTTCTCCTGGTCAGCTTTGGCTCACCTGCACACAGGTTTTCGGTGCGTATCTCTCAGCTAGAGCCTGTACAGCTTCTCTGCAGCATGCCGGTGGGTTGTCACTTGCAGTTATGTAGAGGTAGGTGTGCCCCTACAAAAGATTGGGCCTGCAAGAGCAGAGCAAAGAGCTGCCTGTGGCTAAAGGAAGGTTACCCTTTTGGTCCTAATAACAGGGTTTTCACAGCATTATGGGCTGGGCAACTCTCCACACGGCTGGACTGACAGTGCCAAGAATTAAAAACAACATAAAAAAAAAAATTAAAAAATATATTTGATTTTATGGCCAGTAAAAAAAAAATACTTCACTCCGTTTCCTCAGGGAAAACTGCCTTCTTTGTATTCACTGCAGTTCAAAAAGCAGGGAGAGGGGAAAGAGGAGCTAGTCATAGTCTGAGGCAATCTGTTTTCATGTGATGAGCAAATTACTCTTGGGCCAACTGAAGGAGGTACAGAGCTTGGCAAAGAGAGCTAGGTGAGCTCGGGGCTGTCTGCAGCAGGTTCCCATGTGCTTCCAACCTGGAAATCCTCCTCTGTGTAGGAAAACAAACAGGCTGAGGAAAAGGAGAAGGTAGCTCAGCAACTGTGTTTTAGCACGCTCGGCAGCCTGCTGTCCTGGGCAATTGCGTGTTTCTCTTATGCCTAGAACTGGTCCAGCTCTGGTATCACTCAAGCCAGCTTGCTCAGAGCAAAATCAGAAAGTAATTCTTGTGCACGCCATTTCTTGGTTGTCTCGGAGGAGATTTTGCTGTTTTGTTGACGTTACTAATGGAGTAGTATCAGCCGCAGACTAGGTTGTTGCTGAAAATGTTTATCCCAGCCAGCCTGAGCCAGATTCTGGTCTTGGTTACAGTAATGCAGCTCTGAAGTTACTCCACTGATCCCAGTAGGCTCACTGCTTTTCAGCTCTTTTATCTTCCAGTTTTACAAGATGTTTCTGTAACCTCACTGGTTTGGCCTGGCTGCAGTGCAAGAACCAGGTTTTTCCCCTCTTATTTCCCTGAGCGGTTTCATAGCCTGCAAAACTCCCTTTGATTTCATTAAATGGTAATCAAGCTGCATGACTTTTGTCCCAAGTAATTTTCTACATATCTGATGATATTCTGCCATGCACAGATCAGTGGCGAGACCACTGGAAAAAAACAAAACAAACCAAAAAAAATCACCCTTTTCCACAGGTTTCAACTCAACAGCCCATGCTGCGAGATTCAGGTATCTTAGGGAGGGGCTACCACTGAATAACCTTGATCCTCAGCAGAGGAGACAGACACTCATTCTCTCACTGCCCCCCTGTTCTTACCAGTGATTGAAGTGTGCTTTTTGGTCTTTCTTTTTTTTTCTTCCCCATAGGATAAAGATATTTGCCTCCTAGACAACAGTAAATTAAGACAAAGGTTAAAACAGCTTCAAGATATGCTTTACTTGTATGAACTGCAGCTGAAGGACATTCTGGAGAACACTTACCATAAAACGAAAAGCAGTCTGTTCTCAAGCAACAGGAGCACGCAGCATGAGACGCTTTTACCCACAACCAGTGGAAATTTGATAGTCTATGACCAAGGTACATTTTGCAGTAGCATATGTGGAAACTTCAGCTTGCAGAAATGTTCAGTTCTTCTTTCAGTGCCATATGTATCATATTCTATTTCTGCTGAAAAATTATTTAACCTTTTTTTTTTTTTTTTTTTTAAAGCAGATAGTTTTTAAATGCAGTCAGATACATGGGAAGGAGAAGGAAAGGCAGACTGGTGGCCTTGGTACCATCAGACTTCCCCTGGGGCTGCAGTCAGCTGGCCCAGATTTAGGCAGCCACCACCCAGGTACATCACAGACATCTGCAGCTGGGCTTGTAGCCCAAGACTCCAGTGCAGAGAGGAAAAGGCACCTCTCAGCTCTTTCCCATCAGACCTGCCTTAGACATCTGCTGCAAGAAAAGAAGGGTCTTGCTCTTGAAGAGCCCATTTTCCCTCAGTGGCTTACAGGGAGCCCAAAGTGCACAGCTCAGCTGCAGGCCCTGGAAGCTGCTGGGAGGAATCCAGCATCCCTGTTCCTCGGCTCTTCCATCACTTTTGCTGTGCAGCAGCACACGTGTGTGCTCTGTTCCTTGCTGTCACTTTGATAATACAGCACGACTGGAGCCGTGGGCTGTGGCCAAGGTTTTGTCCTGGATGAGCATGACATTGAAAGTCTGAAGCTTTGCTAGAGCCAGTCAGAGACCGTAGCCTCTGGTTTTAGAAACTTTAGGCCCCCCAGTCCAGTCCCAAGTACAGCTGAGGTAATCTTCCACATGGAAATTAGCTTTACTGCAAATGATATTAAGGTCTGCTATTTGCTCTGGCCCTGCTGGGCTTACTGAGCTTTCCGCAGACTGGCCAAGTGTCCGTGTCCCACACGGCCTCTCAGAGATGTCTCTTCTTGCCTTTGCTTTCCGCCACCTAACGAGCCAATGCCATTCTGCCCAGACTGCTCTGCAGTGTACAGCAGGAAGAAGACGAAAAACGGCTACTACCGGATCAGGCCCCGAGCAGATCGAGAGCCTTTCCTGGTGTACTGTGACATGTCTGACGGCGGTGGCTGGACCGTCATTCAGCGGCGGAGTAATGGCAAAGAGAATTTCAACAGGTGAGTGCCTCGAGGTCTCATCAGCAGGGCTCGCAGTGAGGCCTCCAGCTCCCACACTCAGCCCTACCGGTGGCAAAACCCAAGGTTCAAGAAGCAGGATATGCAAGGCAAGGCTTAATTATGGTAACTGTTTGCATTAGGGCAAAGTGTGGGTACGTATTGGTAGCAGGGGGCCATTTTCAGGATGGATTTATAATGCCTTTTGCATGGCTGGCCTGCATTTGTGTGTCCATATTTGTACAGAACAGAATAGTTCAGTTGGAAGGGACCTACAGATATCACTGAGTCCAACTTCCTGACTGCCTTGGGGCTAACCAAAATTAAAGTGACATTATCCAAATAAAGGATAAAGGACATTATCCAAATGCCTCTTGAATGGTGACACACACGGGGCATCAACCACCTCACCAGGAAGCCTGTTGCACTGTCTGACCACCCTCATGCTACAGATTTTTTTCCTGATATCCAGGCTATTTTGTCATGATAGGAGACAACTGTCTGCCAAAGCCTCCGAATTGGCAGATATCTGCTGCCAGCACATAGGCTGAGGCCCACTGAATCTTTTATCTGTTCTCATATCAGGAATCATGTTCAGCATGATGTAAAATGTATTTCCATATTCAGATCCTTCACAAAGATGCAAAGCTACAGGTTCAAATCAACCTTTCTTTATGCAAAAGCCCAATTATTTATATATTTATATATATTTCCTCCTGGAAATCTCCAGGAGGCGAGATGCTCTGCTGGCACTATAGAGAAGAAATGTCCCCCTGCAGATTAATTCCCTGTTGCAGCACACACACTTGTAGGGTGTGCCCACCATCTCTTAAACAGAGTGCAATTCATTGCAGAGCTACCTCAACTGGCTCTAAGATCTCTACCAGAGAGTGGTAGCTCTCTAGCTGTGGTAGTTCAGCTCTCACCAAAGGTGAATTTATGCCAGTGAAAATTGCCCCGAAGAGTAGCACTGACTGGTAAGTAGGTCAGGCAGAATTAAAATCCCTACTAACAACCTGAGAGAGGGAATAAACACAGGGTTACAAAAACTGGAAATATCAATATGCAGGACATGTAGGCTTATATCAGAGAAAGCACATAAATAACAGAGATTTTAAGATAATGAAATGCCGAGGAGAAAGGAACAACCTGAGATTTCTCTTAGAACTATGAAGCCAGAAAATTGTGATGAGAAGTAAGTATGCATCTTAAGTTGGCACATACAAACAGTGATTCTGCAAAGAAGCAGAGGTGAGAGTGGTCAATGAATTAAAAATAGATTTAAGTGGAACAGGAACACAAAGCAGACCCAGATATTTTTCATTCAGCTTCGTCTGGAAGCTTTTGTTTGCAGGTTCTGCTCATTTTCTGGTTCTTCACTACATCGCTTTATGTGTCTAAGACCATGGTATACTTTAGACTGCAACATTAATTTCCAGCCAGGAGTGAAGATGAATTATGACCTTCCCAAGAACAATATCAGATGCTTTGCTGAAGACAGATATGACAGCTACTGCTTTCCTCTTCCATCTAACTTACAACTTCATTCTGCAGGCACTGTATCTGGCAGTGTGAGGGATTGATTCCCATGTATGTGTGCACAGGGTTAGCAGGAGAGGGAATAAGGTGTGTCGTACATACTTCTGAGGCAGAGTGACAAATCTCAGCTCAGCTTGTGCTGAATGAGACACTTTTCTAAAAGGACCTAAAGATGCAGCAGAAGATTTACTTGTTACCACAGCTAAATGTCACCAACATACATTTAATCCTGGCAATCCAGGAGGTTCCTGGAATGCATTGATGACAACTTCCTTCCCCCTTGCCCTCTTCAGGGATCTGCTTTCTTGACTACCATGGGACAACGCCCTGGAGGGAAGAGGGGCCCACGAAAGTTGGTTAATATTCAAGGGTCACATCCTTCAAATTCAGGAGTGATACATCCCAACAAAGAGGAAGTCAGGCAGGAACACCAGGAGACCTGCATGGATGAAGAACGAGCTCCTGACCGAACTTAAACAGAAAAAGGAGGCCTACAATGGAAGGCCTAGAATGGAAGCAATGACAGATAACCTGGGAGGGGTACAGAAAAAATGTCCAAACAGCCAGGGATCAGGGTAGGGAAGCCAAAGATCATTTAGAATTAGTTTGGTCAGGGACACCAAGGGCAATAAGAAAGGGTTCTGTAGGTGAATCGGTGATAAAAGGAAGACTAGGAAAATTGTGGGCCCTCTCTGGAAGGAGAAAGGAGACCTGGTCACCCAGGATATGGAGAAGGTTGAGGTACTTCATGACTGTTTTGCCTCAGTCTTCCCTGACAAGCTCCAAACACATGGCCCAGGCCCCAGAAGGCAAAGACAGGGACTGGAAGAATGATGAACCCCCCAGTGCAGGAGAAGATGAGGTTCAAGACCATCTGAGGAACCTGAAGGTGCAGAAGTCCATGGGACCTGATGAGATACCTCTGTGGGTCCTTAAGGAATTGGCAGATGAAGTTGCTAAGCCACTAACCATCCTATTTGAGAAGTCGTGGCAGTCTGGGGAAGGTCCTGCTGACTGGAAGAGGAGAAACACAACCCCCATTTTTAAAAAGGGAAAAAAGGAGGACCCGGGGAACTACAGGGCAGTCAGTCTTACCTCTGTGCCTGGCAAGATCATGGAGCTGATCCTCCTGGAAACTCTGCTAAGACACATGGAAAATAAGGAGGTGATTGGTGACAGCCCACATGGCTTCAATAAAGGGTTGATTGTGCCTGACAGATCTGGTGGCCTTTTGTGATGGGGTTGCAGCATTGGTGGTTGGGGGAAGAGCAACTGAGATGGCTCCAGTCATCTACCTGGACATGTGCAAAGCGTTTGACGCTACCCCCCATGATATCCTCGTCTCTAAATTGGAGGGTGGCAAGGGCATTGGAATTAGATGATCTTTAAGGCCCTTTCCAACCCAAACCCTTCTGTGATTCTGTGACACTTGCTGTTACCCGTGCGTGCTGAAACTGATGTTTGTATCTTCTTCAGGAAGTGGGACGATTACAAACTGGGATTTGGAAAATTCCAAGGCAAGAATGATGAATACTGGCTGGGCAACGACCACATCTATGACCTGCTCACTAGAGGTGCAAGTATTTTCCTTACACAGTTTTCCTTCCGATTTGCATGCAATAGTTGATCTAAAAGGGCACTGCTCTGTGTTTAGGAGAGAGCTCATTAAAGATTGACCTGGTGGACTGGCATGGGGAAAGACGTTATGCAGTCTATGAAAATTTCCAGCTCAACAATGAGCAGGTAAGAAATGGGGAGAGTGGCGATTTGCTTGTTTTATCTCTGAGGGTGGGGCACCTGAATCTGCACAGCGCCGGGCAGCTCCCTGCCACGGGGTGTGGGGAGAACCCATGTCTCCCAGATCTGCTAGTTGTGGAGCTAAGTATTCCTACCAGAACAGGGCCATTTAGCTAAAATTCAGATGGCTTCCAGGCCTTGGAGGAGCAAAATTCCTACAGGAGTTGCCCTAGTTGAACCACGGCCAGTCAGTGAGAGCATCTACTTGGCACATTTTCCTGCAACAGGTGCTGTCAACGAGGCAGGGAAAGCCTTCCAGATTGTTGTGCAGTGTACCCAGTGAGTATTAAAAGACAATAAAACCTGAATCCCTCAGAAGCAGCAGTAGTAATTGGTAGCCACTTCTGGAAGTTCAAATCCAGTGGTGATCTACATGTGTACCACTAAAGCATGGAGCTAGAAGGCAGCTGTGATTTCAACAAGCACGTCTCTGACAGGGGATACGATGGGGAGAGGAAATCTCAAAAATGAGAGCTGATATAAAGACGTGTTTCACGTACTGTTGCAGGACAACTACAGGCTATGGTTTGGCACCTATTCCGGGAACGCCGGCGACGCTCTGTCTGGGGGGAGCAATTTTGTTGACCAGTGGTCAGCCTCGCACAAAGGGATGCAGTTCACCACATCTGACAAGGATCACGATCGATTCCTGGCAGGCAACTGCGCGTTGGAGAACAAGGGTGGCTGGTGGTTTAACAGGTAGGGAGGGTGGCTGAGCCCTTGGGAAGAGGCGTAGGGTGTGAGTGGCTGCACAGCCCAGACACCTTACACGTCTTACAGCAGGCGGAGGTTGCTGCGAGCACCTCACCTCACATGGCAAAGTCTGCCACGTTGAGGCCAGCAGGAAAGCAATCTGCTGATTTCATTGTGAAGCCAATCAGGTAAATTGCATTCATTTTAAGAAAATGGGCCAGAATAAAAGTGAAGGAAACTTGTGGCCCAGAAGGAAAAAAGCCTGGTTGAAAATTCTTTGGAAGTGCTTTGGATTATATTCCAAAAAGTTGTGCCAGAGGAGGTTTAGGTTGGATGTTAGGAAGAACTTCTTTACCAAAAGGGTTGTTAGACATTGGAACAGGCTGCCCAGGGAAGTGGTGGAGTCACCATCCCTGGAGGTCTTTAAAAGACGTTTAGATGTAGAGTTTAGGGATATGGTTTAGTGGAGACTGTTAGTGTTAGGTTAGAGGTTGGACTCGATGATCTTGAGGTCTCTTCCAACCTAGAAATTCTGTGATTCTGTGAAAGAAAAAAAGTCATAGCCACTGGAAGATGAAGCGTGCATAAATGAATTTGTTATGGAACATGTCAAGGGATTGAGATACCCCTTACTGTTCCTGAGGGTATATTTTCCATACATCATCAGATAGGGATGTGGGTTCACCAGCCCCGTGTAAACACCCCGGTATCAGGAGTTTTTCCTCTGCTTTAGGGCAGGATGAGCCTCTTCTGTCCTGAGCACAAAAAGTGAAAATGAGTGGACCTATAAAAATGTACATTGATAGTGAGATTCAACTTGATTAAAAGACATCTGCATTTTTAGGTGTTAATATTTAGCTGCCTGTACTTGAGCTGACGGCTACCAAATGGCATCACGCACCTCTCTTCAGGTATCTGAATCACATCCCTGGTCGGTGCACTCAACGTAGCCAAAAGGTTGAATCATCTGACCAGAGTAGGTGTCTACGTTAGGATGACCTACATGGTCCTCTGGGCAACATGGATTGTATTAAACATTGCTGTCATGACACGATGTCTCTCCACGCTAAACAAAACCTCTTTTTTGCCTCCTCCGTGTTGTCACAAGGTGCCACGCCGTGAACCTCAACGGGCGGTACTACAAAACAGGGAGGTACAACGGCTCCCACGACAACGGCATCACCTGGTCGACGTGGCACGGGCCGTGGTACTCGCTCAGATACGTGGCCATGAAAATCCGGGCCCCGTTCTTTGTTGACAGCGAGAGCGGAGACGGCGAGAACAGCCAGGGTGGTTGAGATCTGCTGCTTTGGGAAGTAACGAGTCGTGTACATTAATAGCCAGCCCTCTGCTACTGCCAATTGCCAAAACTGCACTGTGGTAACTGTAGCTGCATCTGCTTCTACTAGCTGAGGCAAAAGTCGCAAGTTTTTGAGCACAGCCAGCCAACAGTCTAAAGGAAAATAGATGGATCTCAGTCCTGAAATAACCGTGGCTTTCTTTTTTAGCAATTTTTGGGACTTTGTTGTAGAGTGTTTATGAAAAGCTTGGACCCTGAATGCTCAAGTGTGTTCATTTAGCTACCTGTACCCTTCAAGGGCTAAATCTTTCTCATCTTGATTGTAACAGCCAGTGCCTGAGCTACAAGAATGGAAACCACAAAGTGATAAGGAGTCAGGCTTCACCTGTTGTGCCTTCACTAGTGTTTTGATTTGGGTTAGAAACACATTTTTAGGTAACTCTTACTCTGGTCACCAATTGCCAGTTGCAGAACTCTCCTAGAGTGTGTGAAACCACACCAGAAGAAGGATACACCCCAACAGCTAACAACCATCCACGCTACTCTGAAGTAAGGCTGCTTCCAAGGCTGCTTTGGAACAAGCCCCCCCAGCGTGGACAATGTCCACACGGCGTTTCATTGCCTCTGCAGATCCATTTATACAGCACACTGCAACATGCTAATGCAATCAAAGACAGTGCTGCCAACCAAATTTAAGTCCCAGATTTAAATTAGGCAGATTTGACTAAATTTAAGATGAGCACAGATATTCTTAGGAGTTCAAAAAAGGCAGTCATGACTCATTTGTACGTTCTCGTGTCATTTACCAGACTCCTTTGATTTAGTAAAGAAGAAGCAAAGTGGAAAGTGATTGAAACACAAGGCACGCTTCTTTCGCTGTCTCTTCTGAGTGAAACTAAAGAGCAACATAAATAACTGAAAGAAACAGAATACTGAAAAATTATTTTCCACAAGTTAATAACTGCAGTTAAAAATGAACAGTAATATCAGCTTGATGCAAACAATGTAACTACCATGTTGTAGGACAGGTCTATTTTTTCTGAATTACAGCAAGTTTTCAGCTGGCAGTTCCTTTCCATTTAATTGCTTTTAGAATAATATACGTTATAATTTGTATTATATAGCTGTAATTGTGAAATAAAAGCATCTGAGTAGGATCTAGTGCCTTCTATCTGTTCTTAAACAGTAGGAAGTTAGGATGAAAATCTTGAGGTAACTCGTAATGGAAGAATTTCATTGCTTTGTTGTTGTCTCTGGTGTTTTTGCACCTGCTCTCCTGCTTTTGATTTCCATGGCTCGAGCTGTCCTGAAGACAATGCAGACGTGAATAGTCAGTGTAAAATTTGATTTGGTCCCTCTGCTTTCTCAAGCAGTTAAGCCCTGTTCTCACTCATTCCCAATGACTGAAAATGAACACCAGTGAGCAACGGGCCCGTGCTCCAGTGAGGTGTGCTCCTACAGCCCATGTCCCGGCAAGACCGCACCGGTGAAGGGCTAGGGAAGCAGGGTAAAGATCACAGCCAGGTGAAACTCACCTCTGCGTGACAGAAATCAGCTGCACTGTGCCCTGTGTTACACTGTGTCTTCCTGAATGTTGTTGTGCTCCAGGTTTGACCACTCATTTCTCAGGGGTCTCCTGCGCCAAGGCTCACCACGGCTGTGAGTACGCCTCGCAGTGCTGTAGCTCTGCAGCTGACAGATCACTGCTTCAGGGCAAACACACTGCACACAGCCACGTTCCCCTCAGCACAGGAGTAGGTAGTAAGCTAAGCAGTAAGTGCTTTAGAGGGCTGATTTCCAGCTCATTTAAGTCAATTTAATGACTAGTTATGTTTGATTAGCTCTGGTCCTCAAGCATGGACGTGTTCTAAAAGGCTTTCAGAGGCAATTCTAGATGACAATTAATGAAAACACGGTGCTGCTTCTGACCCTGCTGCCTCTCAGCACCCTCAGAGCCAGATCCTGTGCTCCAGCAGCAGCTGGGAAGCGTCACCCACCGAGAAAGCTGCTCCAGCTGCTGAGCCTGGCTCCGGCAGCCAGATGCTGAGGTGCTGGCTCCTCCCTTGGCCCTCCCATCAAAATCAGTCTCCATCTGGGAGAGTTTTCTGAAGGCTGACAGTTCTCTGCCTGAGCCTACCTTCCCTCATTCCATCCTCCACTGCCAGCACCTTTTCTTTCAGTGACTGTGCTCAGCAGCACTCCCCTTCTCCTTGCAAACTCTCTGAAGAGGCTGAACCCTAACAAACAGCAAGCAAATTCTCTGAGTCATTCTCGCTGGCCTGAGCTCTGTCTCTGTTGTCAACTGGGGTTTCAACCCAGCTCTGAATACTTGCAGCAGTGTGTAATCGCCCATTTTTTAAGCTCTGATTTTAAAGCAGGAAAAAAACAACGTAACATTTGTGCTTCACCTTAAGATTCTCTGGGAATCGTCAGACATCAAGCCCTTATCCTTTGTGTTTGCAAACCTGGTGTTCATGAAATAAACGTGCTGTTTGTTGGTTTTGTTCATAATTTATTTTGAGCTTGCTGCAGTAGCATTAATGTCCATTTGTTTACACACACAAAAAAATGAAATGCTTAATAAAGGCAAAGACGCTTACAGAAAGGCTGTGGGATGAAACACTTCTCTTCCTGCCTTTTACAGGTGCTGAAATGCTCCAGTAACATTTCTGAGGGCTAAAATTTGATCATCAATTTTTGTTGCACTTCCCGGTAGCCTGCTCTTTTCTACCCTTTTCCTGGAAATATTTGCACATCACTGTATTTTCTTGGAATAAATACTGGCAGAAAGAAAATATCAGTCTCGAGTAATGAAAAACACCCCCTCAGTGTTAAGTTCTCCCCAAATGTTCAGTGCTTGCACTTTCATCCGACCACAGCACCATGAGACTTATCTGAACAGTTACAGCCAATCAACACAGTTCAATAATGACCACAAAAATGATGGAAACTGCTCACAACTTGGGGTTTGTGTTTCCTAAATGGGAAAGGAGTCAGTAATTGGGAGAGACGTTTGAGGATGCTGGACAACGGATCTTTTAGGATACCGTAATCTATGAGCGTGAGGTTTCCACAAGGTGAAAAAGGCCAGATCAATGGGATTTGTTTTGTAGGATGTATGAAATGTGACTGCTTTATGCAATAAACCCCCGTGGGTTGTTCCCGTGTCATGCCTTCACTGGCACAAGCTTTCCCAGGGTATGACGTGTGTACTGTTAGGTACACACATACAAAAAATAATTACACGGAAGCACTTTCCAGTAACGAGGAAGGAATGCGTTCCCACAAGTCAGACTTTGGGAATTCCCTCCTTCTCCAAGCGGAGGGAACACGATTCCCACTGCTCCTTCCCTCGGAAGCTGGCAGGCTCTGCAGATCCTCTCCCGCACGCGCCCCTCCCGCAGGGCTGCACCGAGCCCCTCACTCAGATCACCAGCTTCTCGATGCTTAAAGTACTCGTTTCGTCTTCTTCGTTTGAGCCAAAATACCCGGGCAGGTCAATCATCTGTTGCTCTGCCTCGGTTAAACCGAAGGTGGTGTTATCATAAAAGGCAAACTCAGGGTCCAAGGGGAAGCTCTGGCACTTGTCCTTTCGGTACTGTGCGGGGCTGATCGTTAGGCCCCTCTGGTAATTATCTTTGCCAGCTGAGCCCGCTTCCTTCCGCCACTCACCTTTGGGGTTGGGCGAAGGGCCCCGCTTGCCCCGGCTGCCCTCGGGCTTTTCAGCTGCCCTCTCCTGCCCGGCAGGCTGGCGGTCAGCGGTGGGATCCATTTTCTTCCCCGGGGGACATGCCCTGTGGTGGCACTTGGAGCCGCGGCCCTGCGGCTCGCCGTGGGGCTGATCCAGCCTGTCGCCTGTGGGGTGGGCGCTCCTCAGCTTCGGTCGTGCTCTGTCTTCCAAGCCCTGCTCCCACGTTCTGGTCCTGGAGTTGTAAAGAGGGGTCTGCCGGGGGGTGAGGGTGGACATGCTTCTCTCCCTGAAGGGCCTGGCCTTCTTGGTTTCGTGGAAGCTGGCCGTCCTCCTGAACTGCGGGTTCCTGGGGCAGCCCCTCTCCGATGCCTCCCCTCTGCTGTCCTGGTGTTTGAAATGAGCTCTCCTCACCAAGGTCTGCGTGGGGCTCAGCGCGGGATTGGCCTGGGAGAACGGGAAATCCAGCCTCAGGTTGCAGCCCTCTGCCGGGAATTTGGGCTGAGCAGCCGGATGGTCCAGAAATGGGGACTTGATCCGAAATTTGTTGGCCGCGGCCTCCTCTTGGTTCTCGGCACTCAGGGGAAGCATTGTGCTGGCACCAACAACCGTGTCCGTCAGTGGGTTCTGAGAGACGTGGTACACCTTGGTGGTCTCGGTCAGGCCCTTCTTCTTCATCTCTTTCAGCTGCTGCTGCGCGAGGCGGTAGCTGAAGATCGGGGGGATTATTTTTTGGGCATTCGGCTGAAAGCTCTCACTCCCAGAGACATCATCTTCCTGGGCAAACTGGAGGCTTCGCCTGTAGGTCAGAGGAATGTTAACAGGGGCGTCCCCTCCCTCGGTGAAGCTGTCCCGCTGCTTGTTGCCCTGGCAAATGTTCTCCTCGTCGGAGTTTTTCCGAAAGCCAGGGGAATGGACGGAGTTGCGGCGCACAGCGGCGCTGCACTTCTGAGCTTTGCAGAGCTTCCTCCACAGGGTGATGAGGACGGTGGCAAAGATGATGAACAAGCACAAGGAGATGCCCGTGATGGTCACTATGTTGTTTGCTTTCTGGTCCTCTCCTGGCTGGACAGAAGGTGGGGTGGAAGGCTTGACAGCTGGAACAAAGAGCACACATGTCTGTCAGCAGAGCTGCACTGTCATCAGCATTTGGGTATTTTAGGATGGATACTACAAAGCAAAACTAATTAATACAGTACAGTAAGATTTGCTCATTGTAGACAACTTCCTACTGATCACTTTGAACTGGCAGGAACAGATCACTCACTTTAAACCAAGGGACCCGTAGACCTTCCAGATGTAATCGTTACCTTTGCCTGTTCTGCCCTTTCCAGAAGACACTCCTACATTTGTGTAAAATGGGATAATAATACTCGCCCTCCTTTACAAAGTACATCGAGATCTCCTTGTGAGAAGTGCTGTAAAGGGGTAAAAATAACCCTAGTGATGCTAGTCGTCCAGGTATCACTTCAAAATTATTTTTAGGATGGCTTAAGGAAGTGTGAGAATTATTAACTTGTGAGCTCTGCAGTTTGAAGCGAGCACTGGCAGTGGAAGTGGAACTTTTCAGAGCAGCCATCTGGGGGTGCTTCTTCAGCTGCTGCCTGGTGTTGGCCCCCGCAGAGGACAAAAACCTTTCCAATGTTCAGAAGGATCCTAACTGAGGTTCTACGATGTGGTGCCATGGGCACTGTGGTATTAGAGCTCTTCTGTTGTGAACTGGAGACTGATCTTCGAAAGGGAACACTCTGCTACCTGGTAACAGCAACAGCGCAAAGCTTTTCAGGGCCCTAGTTAAACCTCTCACCTGTACGTTACACCACATGTGGGTGTCAAGAGACGGTCATAAAGCTGTGAGCTCAAACCAAACCACTTCACAACCTTGCCCCAGCCCCTAGTTTTATCCAGAACCCACAGCTTCCCATCAGGGTTATGGACAGTCTATCAAGTGTGCAGGATGTCTTGCACTGACAAACACAGGCCAGAAGGTCCCAGGCTGCTACAATAACGGGTGAGCTGGAGGCCCGTTTCTTTGAGTCAGGGCTGTAAGACAGCCCCAAGACCTTTCAAAAACCCTGCCATGATCCTAAGTTTGATCATCACTCTGAGACATCAGCACAAAGAACAACATCGCTGCCTGTTGAATAGTTTCTGAGGGTCCCTAAAACTGACACTCAGCCCAGAGAACAAGGAGCACTGCTGCTCCAAGCTCAAGAGAGAAGGCTGGACCCACATTTGCCCTGTTCAGTAGCGCCGGTGCAGAGCAATTCATTCATAGCTCATCCTTCTCTCAGCCCCCTTTTCTCTCAGTTATTTATCAAGGACCCGGTTTTCTATCTGTAATGCACATTGTGCTACATCACCCGGAGTACAAAGTTAGCAGCAAGGTTTGAACCTGGATCTAGTTCCCCAGGTTTGCTCCTCTTGCCACCCGACCTCCTGCTGCCCTCGGGCCGTTCCCTGGTTTCC